AAGGTGGTAAAACAATTTTTTTTATTTATTTCTTTCTACACACTTTGCAGATTATTTTTCCTGCACTCCACCTATTTAATCTGTGCGCACTCCGGTGGGGTGACAATCATCCCGTTTATGCTTTACTTTTRTTTGAACGACAGTCTGACTGTCAGCCTTTCCCACAGCGCTTCTCCGCTGTACAAGGAGACAGTAAAGCCTGAGTTTCATAGTTGCGCTTTGAGTGCGCGTGCGGCGTCACGCTATGACCGCAGGAGAAATGAGGTCCAGACTCAGAGAACTTTTGTGAGTCCTGGAGTACTACTTCACCTGCACTGACTGTCGCCTCGCTGTGTCACCATGTGCTGCTGCGCGCTCCTCCCGCAGCAGGCAGTGTGGTCGGTTGACATCCGACCGGAGGATGCGCCATCACATAAATATGTAAACAGTTCGGCATTCATTTTCGCACACCCGAACCAGGTCCGGTTCGGGTGTCCCCCCCCCCACATTTGCGCTCTCAGCCAGGCTGCTTCCTGCTTCCTCTGTTTTGACTCCAGCTGGTTACGCCATCAAAAAGAATTCCGCGGTTGGCCGGTAGACTACAGATCTCTATCATATGACAAATTTATATCGTTTCTACCGTATATCGTTTATATCGCGCATTTCTAAGGTGAACATAATCAAAAATTAGTGAATGAAGTTGGAGACAAATGAAACAATTAACAAAGATAATTTTGTGCAACTCCAGGTTGTCACAACCTGAAATGGTTTTCACTTAACAGGTGTGCCCTGTCAGGTTTAATAAGTGGGATTTCTTGCCTTATAAATGTAGTTGGGACCATCAGTTGTGTTGTGCAGAAGGTGGATACAGTTCACAGCTGATAGTCCTACTAAATAGACTGTTAGAATTTGTTTTATGGCAAGAAAAACACAGCTAAGCAAAGAAAAACAAGTGGCCATCATTACTTTAAGAAATGAAGGTCAGTCAGTCTGAAAAACTGGAAAACTTTTAAAGTGTCCCCCAAGTGCAGTCGACAAACCATGAAGTGCTAAAAAGAAACTGGTTCACATGAGGACCACCCCAGGAAAGGAAGACCAAGAGTCACCTCTGCTGCGGACGATAAGTTCATCCGAGTCACCAGCCTCAGAAATGACAGGTTAACAGCAGCTCAGATTAGAGAACAGATCAACCCACGTCTAACCCACACAGAGTTCTAGCYACAGACACATCTCTAGAACAACAGTTAAGAGGAGACTGTATGAATCAGGCCTTCATGGTAAAATAACTGCTAGGAAACCACTGCTAAGGACAGGCAACAAGCAGAAGAGACTTGTTTAGGCTAAAGAACACAAGGAATGGACATTAGACCAGTGGAAATCTGTGCTTTGGTCTGATGAGTCCAAATTTAAGATCTTTGGTGCCAACCATCATGTCTTTTTGTGACACAGAAAAGGTGAACAGATAGACTCTACACTCTTAACCTGAATTAGTTGACTTTATTAGAAAATCGCATGGAAACCCCATTGTCTTGAACCATTCTAGTTTTTACACAATGATGAAATTAATCAGGTTTAGTTGTGTTAACTTAAGAACTTCAATACAATGTGGTAAACACATTTAACATATTTTACTAATTTTGATTGGTTTACATAAATTTATTTCTAGTTTTGTTAAATTACTATTTTAAGCTAAACTTACATAGCCATATTAAGCAAATACCCATAATAAAATTAGTTTAAGCTAATAATAATATTTTGTTAATATAAGTAACTGTGAGGTTCGGACAGGAACTGATCCAGGGCGCAGGCAGGCTCAAAA